TTGAATTTTGATGAATGCCCTAAGAGATATTTGTAAAAATGTTTGAAAAAATATTGTTAAATTGACGTGATATAGCTTGAAGGATTATATGTATGGTGACTTAAGCTAATGTTTGGAATTTTAAAATAGAAAAAAAATAGAAGAAAAGATTATATATGATGCTTGTATAGTATTTTATTAAGTCTAAATGAAGCATAATAATAGTTGATATGGTCTATTGTAATTTATGATTGAGATGGACTATAAACAAGCATAAGGATGAATTAAGATTTGTCAAGTATACTTGAAATTCAAATGAAGATAATGCTATCTTAATTATTGTTTGCAAATTAATTGCTGATATATTGTGAAGTATGAAATTGCTTATGATTTGATTTGTATTAAAACATATTTGAACATAGAATTTGGTGGGAATATGACTATTTAATTTTCATAATAGGACCTAGTAAAATTATAAATGCTATTTGATGAAATACATGTTTTTACATATAGTTTGTAAAGTTGAATTACTCATTGAAATTGTGTAGCACTTAAAGGGAAATTGTTAAATTATATAATAATTAAGATTTTGTCAAGTTTGGAATAAGGGTCATGTACAGCTAAGGTTGAATGTTGCTAAGTATTGTTGAACTACTTAATAGAAGTTGTTGAAGGATTCAGCGGGTTTAAGGGGTTAATGAAAAATTTAAAGAATTATTTTGATGAGCTTGAATGTTAATTTTGCTTGCCTATATTGAGAATGGAAATTATATTGACACAAAGATTATTGGTTTATGTGTTAGATTATGTAATGACCCTAAATTTTAAATTAAATAAAAACTTTTTATCCCAATTGATATTTTATTTAAATTAGTTTTATAACAAGTAAAGAGTGGTAATTTAGTAGAACTTATGCCAGTGACTTTTTTAAAGGTTTAAAATTTAAATTATATTAAGCAAAAGTTTGACTTTATTGTGTTTTAAATTGTAAAAAAATTGTGTGTTTTTTCTTATAATTTTTCTTTATACCCTTTCTTGTAATTTTTCCTGTGCCATGTTTGTAATTTTCCCAATTAAGCTTCACGCTCAGATTTTTTTCTTCTCCTTTCGGCCAAATGCTCGTTCTGTCTCGCCTCCTTGCTCTGTAATGTTTGCTGGTGCAGAGTGTGTGGCCTTCATCTTCCGTTCCTTCTCCGTCGTCTTCTTCTATTGTGACTGACGCCGTGGCCATGAAAACGCCAGACCCTTCCTCCTCTAACAGTGTTGCGGTTGACTTGCGTTGAATTTCCCCTCCCCCCTCTTCCGTAGGCACTTTCTTTTTACTTCCCTCCTCTGTCATTGCTGATAATTAAGGTAAGAACCTATAAACTCTTCTTCTTAATGACCATATGTGTGTGAGGGCGGGATTTAAATACAATTTTCTTCTTTTCTTATAAAGTATTTTTAATTAAATTAACTATTAATAAAGTAATTATTTATTTATTTTTTATATTTATTCTTATTTAATAAAATGTTTAACTTTAAAATAAATATAAAATAATTTATTTATTAGGAGAAAAAAATTTAATAAATGAACTTTAAAATACTAAAAATATCTTATATTTTTTGACATACAATCTCTAAAAAAATATTTTATATTTTTTAATGGAGGGAGTGATACTTAAAAAATTGCAGAAAAGGATTTTAAAAATTAAAAAAATGACACAAAATTACAAATACTCTTCTTTTTATATATACAAGGTATAGAGAGACAATTAATTTTGATTCTATTTATAAGTCACTTCACTTTTTTTTTTATATTCATCATTACATTTCTACCTTTATTAAATTAATGCTAGAAAAAATTATTAAAAATAATTCTTTTTGTCATTATTAGAGTGTAAAGTTGAAAATTAAATTTATTAAATTTTAAAATAAAGTTAATGAAGTTTAATATTTTTCTTAATTTTATTGGAACATGCTAAGGCTAACTTATAAATAAAATCAAAGAGAATATATAACATGATAATTTCATAGTGTTAAAACAATATTTGTGATATGGCATTATTAAAAAAATCTGAAGGGATAATATTTGCTTTGTAAAGCAAATTAAAACTATATTTCTTTCTTAGAGGAGAGGAAAAATATAATAAGACACTAATTTTGGGAATTGTAGCAAACATGAAGCAGCATCCCTTGTAAAATCTATGGTATTCACCGTTGCGGGTCTGGGTCCACTGGGTCCCATCACTTCATCAAGTTCAAGCTGTGTTGTGTAAATATACACTAAAGTCAGGATTATGATTGATATTTACAATCTGAAGCATTTGTGCATACAACAACAACAAAGAACCTTGTCTCATTAAATAGAGTTAGTTACTTGAATTGCACCACGCATTTGTGCATACCAAAAACAGAAAAAAAAAAAAGAACATTGACATTGTCGCATTGCATGATCAAGGAATGAAACCTGATGTCAATTATATTTCTAATTTTCTGTATTGCTTGCCACCAGAAAATGAAACAAAGAATAAATGCTGAATCATATTTTTGCATTGCGTGCGGCTGAAAAATGAACAAAGAATAACAAACGTCTCTTCAGATCACCAAAAATTTGCTTCGGTAGAGCATTTGGATGCCAGCATATAGTAGCGTCTCATGTTCAATTCAAATTCAAATGTATATAGGTTAAAATATACATTTAATTCTTTAACTTTACACAATATTTTATTTTAATCTCTTAACTTTATAAATCATTTTTTTAGTTATTTAACCCTAAAATTGTTAGTTTTATCTTAATAAATTTTTACATTAAACTTTCAAATATTGAAAAAATATTCTCAAATGTTAACATATTAAATTTAATTTTTTTAAAATAATGATGATTGATACAAGAAATAATTATTTAAAACTAACGATGCTAAAGTTAAATCATTAAAAAGATATTTTATAAAATTAAAAGATTAAATTAAAACTCTATATAAAGTTAGAGGATTAAAAATATATTTTAGTTTTTATAGAGTATAGGGCAATCTGGCAATTAGTTAAGGATATTCTTATTTTAATTAATGTTTCCAAAATTCAAATTCAATTTTTCGCCTGCTAACTTCAAAATTCAAAATTCAAATTTAAACATATAAATATCAATAATAAATGTATTAAATCTAAAAAGTCAAACAATCACATTTAATAGTCACTGCTTATTAATTGCATATTAATTATTTTTTATAGCACATTTACTGTAATTTAATTAAAATGTATAAAACTCCCTTAAATTTTAAAGCAGTTACATATAACCCCTTCACCAATAAAAATTTAAAATTAATTTCCTTAACCTTTATTTTTTGTCAAAACCCCTGATATTAATTATATTATTTTTTCATAAGGGTTAAAATGTTATTAAACAAAGATGTTATGTCAAAGAATTATTTATAATTAATTTATTATATTTTTTGAATAATTGAAACATTGATAGCTAAAAAATTGTTATTATCATTTTATAAAATTTTAAATATTTACATTTATATTAGCCTTATCAATTTTTTTTGTTATTAATAGTGCATAATTTTATTATTTTAAAGGATAATTTTTTTTATATTTTTATGTTAGATTAACGTAATGCACACTGCTAAAATATTTAAAATTTTAAATATTACTAGATTAGATTAATGTATCCTTTAATACAAGAAAAATATACATCATTAATAACAAAAAAAGGTAAAAAAATAATAAAAAAGTAAATATTTACAATTTTGTACGAGGATAATAACTTTTTTTTTTTTACTATCAATGCCTCAACTATCTAAAAAATATAAGAAATTGATTAGCTATAGTTCTACAATATAATTTTTGTTCAATAATATTTTTTAATTAAATGACATTTTAACCCTTATGAAAAAAAATATAATTGGGGCTTTGAAAAATAAAATTAAAAGTTAAGGGGTTAATTTTAAACTTTTAATAATAAAAAAGTCATATGTAACTGTTTTAAAGTTCGAGCAATTCTATGTATTTTAATCATTTAATTGAGATGAAGGGATTTGAAGAACATGTGGCAAAAGCAAAGGCTTCAACTATTTTTCTTTTGTAACCTCTCCAGTCCAAAATATAAAATATTTCTAACTACTTTACAAGATTAAAAAAAGTGGCTTGTATAATTGAAATGGTAAAAAAGATATGGAAAATTATGAATAAGTCTTGTATAGAATATTTATTTATAAATAAGTTTTGTAAAATTCAAAAACAACAATCAAGTCCCTTGAAAGTTAAATTTGTGGTTAAAACAAGGTACTTAAGTATTTATCCTTAGCTCCTTCCTTCCTCACTTAAACCTTCTAAAACACCATCTCACAAGCGTCATTCCATTCTTCATTAGATTCAGATGCTCATACCCAAAAGTCCGAAAACATGATTGATAACGACTTCAACTGATATTCTTCATTAGATTTTGATGATGGAAAAACAAAAGAAGATTAAAGGGACCAGAAAGTTTTTTTTGTTTGAGGGATATTTTAGAATTTTTCTTATTTTTTAATTAAATCATTTTTGAAAAAGAATTTTTTTTTTCCTCAATCGTCCTAACAAACCAGACGTATATATAGTAATCAATATTGGTAATCCCAGTGTTCAAGAACTAAATTAATTGTCATATATTCCTGGCCTTTCAATATTGTAAGATAATTTTAACTGAATTACATCATTGATGAGTTTCTTAATTGTATCTAAAATTATACATTTTTTTATGTTTACCCTTATTTATATGGTGCCTCAATTAAATTTTTATTAATTACATCTTCTAATTAAGTGTATTTTTAGAAAAACATTGTTAATTACACTTTAAAAGACCCAAAATGTTTTATATTTTTTAACATCTTGCCTAAGAATGCCTTAATTATATTTTTAATGGAGGGAGTAATCACTAATTATCTCAACCTTGTCAAGATAATCATCAATCTCCCAATATACAATTAATATCAGAAATTACAAACGATAGCTATCCCAAAAATTTAATTAAGTGCTATGCAACGAATTAAAGTACTCAATTTGGCTAAGTCAACATATATTTGAATCAGATCAGTTAATTGGTCATCATTTACACTTTTCTTGTCTTGCCGAATCAAACTCGTGACTTCACTAATGAAAGTAGTCATACACTTTACAAGTGAGACACAAGTTGGATTGGCATCCACGAGCACCCCAAAAAATGAAGCTATACAGTGAAGTCCAAGAAACAATTATCACAAACCTCAAAGTATACTTATGACACACATATTGTTGCAAACAAAAGAGAAATAAAACTATCAAATCACACCCACACACAAGCTATTAAATTGAAAGTGATATATGATGGACAATGTTGTTTGAATAATAAGACATGCACTTTATTAATTTCAGAGGTTCAAACCTGATCCTGATCCAAAATATTTTAAAATCATCTTATTTCTTATCCTTTTTTGTCTCCATCTGTTCCATTTTGCCTGGGTTCGAATCTATTCCCTTTTCCTTTTTCTCTGTCTTCTTGTAGCGGTTGATGGCATCAGCGGTCGGACGGCTAGGGGCAGGAACCTTGGAAAACATAGACTTCAACGTGGGACCAACGAATCCGGGTAGTAAGAGAATGATTAGGAAGCCGATTGGAGAGCCAAGAATTGCGTAAGTTGTTATAGAGTGGTCGTGGAGCATGAGAGAGATCCACAAAGAAACAAGGGAGGCAAACATGAAGAACATGCCAATGTGAAGCATGAAAGGAACATGCATCCAAAAGCTAGTAGATTGAAAACGAGAAGCAAGTATGCCCAGGAAGGAGATGGTGGACATGAGGGACAAGGAAAGGGTCACAAGATATGGGTTTGGAAGAGCTTTGAATCCAAACTTGTTTATGAGGATTGTCTTGCTACTATCATTATTGGAACTGGTTGCCACATTGGGAAAGACCATCGTCGCAACCAAGCTCGAAACCACAGAACATGCTTGTGAGGTTTTATTCAACCACTCTAGGTCGCCTTTCATCAGTTCCCCATAAGTCACTCTAAAGATTCCTTCTGCACTTTTCCTGTCATTGTTGTGCCGCTCCCTCAAATCAGAAGGCACTGATTTTTTCACTAACTGCGACCATCAACATTTATATATTATTCACCTTGTTTATTTTATCTAATATTTTGAATCAATCTTTGATGTGGCTGTCAATTAAAATACTCCTTTGGTCCTATTCCCTCTAGTCCCTATTATAGGGCATCTTTTAGAAGAATTTTTTGGTCCTTTATATAAGGCACTTGATAGGATATTAATTAAATCTTTTCAATATTACCCTTGTAAAATTCGTTAACTATGAAAGAGAATGTAAATCATGTTTGAAAATTTTTCATTTAAATTGGGACAAAATAGAAAGTTTATTCTATTTTCAAACAAAGTTAATGACTTTGCTACTTCTCCTTGGTTCCAATGAGGTACTTAGAAATGCCTTATAATAAGGATTAAAGGAAGTATTTATAAGTCACTTCCAATATATTTTATCATAATTAAGAAAAATTATTAAAACTCATTAATTTTATTTAAAAATTTAATAAATTCTCAACTTTACTCCTAGTAAATATACATACTTTAATATCAAATATTTTCTCTCATCAACCTTTAATAGAGGATAAAGAGAAAATTTGTAATTAAAATTTAATGATATAACTTATAAATAAGACTAAAAAGCACTTCTCTATCTATTTTATAAATAGGATTGGAGGGAGTAGTTTAATAATAAGTGCCTAATGAAGTTTTTAATCCCTTAAGTTTATTTAAGCAATATTAATCAAGTCCTAAAAGTTTGATAATCATAGACAGTGAGTGATGCATTATGGTTTGAAGAAGCACATGTGGTGTAACCTTTAATTCATGCATTGCAAAAAATTGTTGGTATAATGAGATCAAATAAGAACATGAAATTCTTTACAAAACATTAGGGACTCAATTGATAAATATTAACTTTAGGGATCAATTAAATTAATAATTGAGATAAATTTGAGAGACCAAAAGATTAGTTATCCATCAGATCTAGTAGTTAGTTAAGCCAAACAAGTTTAGCATCAAATGGAAACGCACCTCAAACCACTTGGATTCCTCTATCATGGTAGTTGTTTGCCAATTGAGATTTGCACCACTCATGGCTGCCAAGTGCAATGCAGTGTTTCCCTTATCATCCACTTGGCTAAATGCACTTTCGGGAATGGTTTCGTCCTTTTGATCCAATAAAAACTTATATAACATGGTCTGTCTATTTTCTGCCGCTACTAGAACTATGTTCTTCTTCTCATCATTCACATTGTTAATTATCGATGGAAATTTTTCCAGAATCATCTCCACCATTTCTACAGCACCATTCTTCGCAGCGATCATTAGGGGTGTCTCTACCGGCTCTATCCGAATCATTCACAATCCAGATCACAAAATTAGATTACTATATATTATTACTACTATTACTATTACTATTAATGCATCTTGAACAAAGAAAATTCAAATTCTTACTACAAGCAGACAATTAACTAAATTAATACTCCCTCCTCCAGTCATAATTATAGAGCAACAATGAGGATGAAGAATGAAGTCTCTTCACAAGTGATCTAACAGTGAAGATGAAGAATGATTACTCCTCCTAAAATGTCAAGTTCTAGATGTATAGAATAAAATTATAATGCTTTAATTTAAATTACCGTTGTCATGTTTTGTCTTTGACATTTCATCGAGGGAGGTATGCTCAAGAAGTCCATTCATTATTTGACGATACCATTCGTGCTCCTCCTTCGTTTTTCGTATTTCAAGGAGCCAGTACCCTAGGAATCAGCCACCATGAACTGTTTTGAAAATATTGTGGAGAATTTGAAAACAACGGGCAATAATACATGTTTAGTTCTTTAATTTTATATAAGATTTTAGTTTAGTTACAATTTTTAATTTTATACATTATTTTCAGTTAACATCATTAATTTTAATTCATTGATGATAGGAAATGTCAATATTATAATTTTAAATGGCAACGAAACATGTTCCAATACTAATATATTAAGTTTAATTTCGAAAAGTAACAATGCTTGACCAAAAACAAAATCATTTGTGAATTTTGGTCAGCATTTAAAATTAGAGTGTTAATATTTTTTATTAATGAAATTAATTGTATTAGTGTTAAAGAGCTGTGAAAATACTTTATAAAATCATATGACCAAACAGTTTGTAATTATGTGTAATTAAAAAAAAAGAGAAAAGTAATTAATAAAGAAAATATGTAAGATAGATGTTATATCAAGGAAAATTAATTAAAAGCTTTTAACTCCATTTCTTAAACTCAAACTAGCACTTTAAAATCTCTCCCCTCAGCTCAAACGCACCTTTAAAATGTCACTTTACTCTTTTATTTTTATATTTTTGTGGGTTTGGTTTAAATATTTTTCATTGGGAATAGTAGTAGCTAGTTATTGATGGACATGTATATACAGCACGTTATTCCAAATGAACCAATATAAATCATATTGCATGCATGATTTTCATTAAATCAAGTATATACATGTATGCTCTTGTATGCACATTGACATGGCGTACCTGCTATTAAAAATAAAGCTAGGATGAATAGCGGGAGGACAAGCATGAGGCCTAGCAGAACCAAAATTATACATCCCAGCAGGGCGAAAATGTACTTGACGCCAGGGATTTCAAGTAATGGCATACATACTGCAAATATGAGTCATCACAAATTTTTTAGTTTCCAAACATGTGTGTGTGTGTGTGTAGAAGATGAACACTATTAATCATGCTTAATTACCTAAATCAAACAAGCAGTCTATTACTCTAAAGCAGATACCATCAGATGGTGTCTGTTCACGTGTCAATTCTTCCTTGGTCGTGGCCTGCTCCTTCTTCTTAACACTAAAAAGCCCTTATGGAAGTTCCAAACAAACCAAGCATACTATTATACATAAAGTCGAGTCACAAAGTTCATGAAATGAATAGACACTTCATAAATTTGTTTGCTTTCCTAAGAAGCATGTTGCTGTGCAGAGGAGAAACATCCCACTCACAATTCTCTTCAATGGACAACAGTACAGTACTTACGATAAATGAAACGAACGATGGTAGATCGACCATGGAGACTGGTACTTTTGAAAGCTGAAGGAGTTGCTGCTAGGAGATGGAGTGTAGACAAGCCATCCTTGTTGCGCTTCATCTCTTTGCAATTCACAAGATCATCTCTGTAAAGGTGAAATATTTCGATTGCCACATCTGCCAAATCAAAGCAAACCATATGTATATAGGACCTGCAATTGCACTAGTTAATTAAATCTAAAACACAGTAATTTATGTTTGAATTTATACCAATATGGCCATGTGCAATTGCACAGTGGAGAATGGTATCATCGTTGTTCCTTTGTATACAGCGAGCAAGGTCATCGGTTGAAGAAACTTTTAGGTTTTCCATGTAAAAATAATGAATCCAAAGAAAAGCCTTGTTGTCGCCGCTGAGAGCCGCCAAGAAGAGTGGTGTCTCTCCATCAATGTTGCGTTCTATAAGTAGGGAGTGGTCTGCTGTACCAATCATCTCACAGATTCGAACATACCCCATTGAAGCTGCCAAGTGCAGAGCAGTGTTGCCTTTCTTATTCTTAACCCAAAGCACCTCCTTCGCGTGGCTCACTCCATATTCAACCCCCAACTCAATATTTTGATCATCTTTCACGGTTTTCTCGTTTTGTTCATCAAGTAACAATGATACCATTGCAGACGCGACAATCACATCTTTAGACAAAGCCATGTGTAATACTGTGTCTCCTTTTTCTGTTATCTTCTCCATGCGAAGCTCCTTTTCTTTCTTATATGTTTCCAACACGTCATCCCACTTGCCTTCTCTAGCATCGCTACGTAGTTTCTTCACTTTTTCTTCCTGGACGCCATCTGATGAACTCATTTTGTCCCTTCCAAATTAAATTGAAATGGTTTACATTAGTTATATATATACATATATATGTGTATAGGTTATAGTTATGGAAATCAGAGCATACCAAACAAGAAACCCATAAAGATTACTTGAAAAGGCAAAAGTCCACCATTATTGTAATTTCACGACAGCCCTTACCACTTATGCCAACTTATTTTAATAGGACATTTCAGTAATTTGCAATTTTAAAGAAAAATATTAAATGAACAAAATCTCTCCTTTAGCCCAATGGGGATTCAAATTCAAACTCAGAACCTGAAGGATAAGCTATTAGCAGAGTTTCCACTAGACTAGCCATGATTCTCTTATTACATCTATTCCAAATTTTATTAAAATAGTATAAAAATACTATACAAAAAATTTTAATTTTAATAAAAAATTTCTAAGATCAGTTATATATATATATATAACTTAAATATTTCATCATATTTAATTTTACAAATTTATAACCAAAATAAACATGTATTTTTATTTTTTAAGCTTTGCTTGTCAATTCTTCGGGGCATACAAAAATTAAAGGCAAAGGGATAAAAATACTCAAAATCTTCAACTAAAAGCATCTAGTAGCTTAAAATAAGAAAAATGGCAAAAATACTCATAACCTTACTTAAGTTAGTGCAAGAGCCACCAATCCATTAAATCTTTTAAACGTTGACAATTTAGCTCACACTTATTTAGATGTTGACAATTGTTTTTGCTAACATGGACTTAAAAAGTGAGCCAAAATATCTGTGAAGTTGTCAACCAGGGGCATCAAGTAGCCTAAAGTGAGAAAAAAGGGCATGAATACCCATACTATTACTTTAATAGATGCAATAATGACCAATTTGTCAAAATCCATGCCATGTGATTTTTTTTCATCCAATGATACCCTTAACAATGATTTCAAACATTTTTCAAGTGAAGGCTTCTCGGAGAAATTTTTGACTATTAAGCACAATCTTCTAGAACCCCTCTCAATTAGGCATTGAACCTGAGCCACCAAGCTAGCCTAGAAGAGATATGATGTTGCAAATGAAGTTGGGGAGGAAATTGAGCTATAGGTAACTTGCAAATGAAGTTGGAAAGGGAATCGAGCTATAAGGAACTTTCTTTATCAATTCAGATCCACCATCTAGGTGTTGCAAGGAAATAGAATGATATGATATCCATATTCCGTACATTGAAAAAGAGGAAGTAGCAGAAAAATGAAGGGTCTTTGAATGGTGGTTTGAGAAGAAGAGGAATTAGCAAAAGAAGAAGTGGTAGTAGGCATAGAAGAAGTGGAACTAAAGAGATGATGGAAGAAGAGGTAGTAACATTATGGGTATTTTTGTCATTTTTTTCATTTTAAGCTACTAGATGCTCCTGGGCAATGACTTCATGAGTATTTATGTCTCTTTGCCCAAAAATTAATTTTCATGTTTATAGTAAACTTCTTAGCAATTTTCTTCTTAATATATAAACTATTATTAGATTACTAAAAATTTTATCCTCCATCTTGTTGTGAAATCTTGTTTTTATAATTTTCATAGCTAAAGAAAATCTGCTCAATGGTGGTTGTTGACACCAGAAAAGTTAGTACAAATAAAAAGTAATTAGTTAATCAAAAGATAATTAAGAATCAGACTTTCCTACCTCTACAAGCTTTTGACATAATTCATAGTAGTCAAGTTATGAAAATTAGGATCTTTGGGCACACAATTTCATAATGTTGTAATTCATATTCCAATCAAATATTTTTGTTAGTAAGAAAAATCTGGTGACTACAATTTCTCAATAAGATTGCAATATTCCTAGTATTAAATTATTTAGATGTATTTTTAGGATCTAAAGTTTTGCTTCATTTAAGAAGTTTTATTACTTGCTTATTAAATTTATAGTTTAATTCTTGCAATTGATTTGATAACATATAATAGTTTTAAATATATCAACACGATATCAAATGTCACAAAATTTGTGTGTCAGCAGGACCAAAGTGCATTAAAGTAAAACCATTCATATCAGGAATTTCAATAACTTTATTATTATTATTAAATGTTGTAATTTTTTTTCTGGAAGATCATATCTCAATCCATAATCTTTCATACTTTTGAATAAGTGCTTTTGTGGTAAATTTTAATATCAGTGAATGCTTAGTAAGTAGGTAAAGCTAAATTTGTTAATATTAAATATATACAAATAAATTTACCAAAAATATATAACTTCTATATTTTACTAAAAAAAATAAAAAAATTTAGGGGGAGGGGCGTGGTTCCACAATCCCCCTCGTCTCCGCCACTACCAAATAGGAGGAGAAGGAGGAGAACCCAATGAAGAAACAAAATCTAACCAAGAAAGAAGAAAAGATTTTTTTACCCAAAAAAAAATAAAAAATAAAAGAACCAGAGCTTTGCCAAAGGAATAATTACAGAATGATATTGTAACTTTAAAGAACTAATTAAAGATGAGTAGGAAAACAAAGTGGATAATTGTATAGGAAACAAACAAGTTTATCCTCCTCCTTATATATTACATGCATGTAAGTAACTCCAACAAAAAGAAGCTAATGATCGCAAGACAAAGAACCAGAGCCTTACCAGCAAAGAAATAACAGGATGAGATTGTAACTTCACCAAAACCAAATCTTGAAGAACCAGAGGTGCGTAGAAAGACCCTGATGGTGAAGAGAGAAAGATAAAGAGGCATTATATAGAAAATAAATTAGTAGATCATCCTCCCCATGATGACCTGCATTTTGTGAAATATTTATTTAATAAGAATACAACTTGGCCCACCATATATATAGCTGTTTCTTTTTGACTCCACATAGGAAGACGACAACGACGACGGCTGCTTTTTTTTTTTTTTTGACCCTATTGAAGATGGAGGGTGAGGGATAACAAGTTTTGGGTCAATAAGAAAACAATTTTATATCTAAACACTTTTTCATTTTCTTTAAAAAAAATATTCATATATCCACCCAAAAGAGCAAACAATTTTGGATAAAAAAATACTTTTCGTGATTGTTTTCGACAAAAGGCCTCCACGGTCAGTAGTCCTAAAAAAGGTTTCAATTTTAAAATAAAATAATTACAACTTCTCAGAATACATAACTAAGGTAAAAAAAATTAACGACAGTATATAATTAATGTAAAAAATTAATAAAAAATGAAATAGGCCTACTATTTTTATTTACATAAATAAATATATAATAGAATACCACTCAATTAGGGCTCCAGAAATTGGTGAAGCTTTTCTTGTAATGCATGGAAGATGCTCTTAATAACAGGATCTTCAAAGGATATAGTTTAAATGTTGTTATCCATAATATTGATATATACACATATGGTTAGATATATCATCAAGATGTAATTTATGTCATTGATGATCATAGGCCAAGTAATGATCATGGTTGTTATCCATAATCTGCTGACTCTTGGAGTTGGAGATACGTTCTTTTAAAACTTTTACCTTGGTAATGTCTTGCCCTTCATGTTCTCGATCCTACGTTGCTTTGTCGTGGGTCTCCTGCCTATGCTGGTCAGTCCTTCATGCTCCATCACAAAACTCATAATTCTTACAATCTTCAAAAACTTTGTTTTATCAATGTTGAATATTAAAAATAAATGACGATTACTTTCATATAACTAGTGACTAAAATAGTGTAGGAAATGATTATTTCATTTTTTTAATTAATTTCATTTTACCAGTGTTGAATCCTCAAGGTAAAGGACTACTTTCATTAACAAATTGATAAAAGAGTATAGAAAATGATTACTTTCATTTCATAAGTGTTGAAGTTAATGGCTTCGCGTAAATAAGCTCGTGAGTTGTGACTACTAATTTGTCGATGCTAATGACTAATATGTAGGGAGGGAGAAGGAGAGGGGGAGGGGGGATATTTTGGATATCTAATATGCAGAATTATGCGTAGTACTGTAAAGCTAAAATATATAATAGAACATATCTGTTAATATTATTATTATAAAAAAATAATTGTGCTTATTTTCATATGATAATAAAAACAATGAAATTTGATGTTAAATTTCAATAGAGGATAAAATATTTATTTAATAAGAATACAATTTGGCCACCATATATTAACCTCCCACCATATATATATATATATATATAGCTGTTTCTTTCTTCTTTACCACAGGAAAAAGAAGACGAACACTTGCTTTTTGACTTGAGGGATGATGGATAACAGTTTAAGAGAGTCTTTTTGGGTCAATAAGCAAACAATTTTATATAAAAACATATTCATTTAAAAAACATATTCATATTCAACAACTCCTCCACCCAAAAAAGCAAACAACTTTCTATTATTAAAACACTTTTCATGATTGTTTTCCACAAAAAATGAAATGTCAAATAAAATTCACAAACTTCACGACTTCTCGAAACATATAATTTGACAAAAAATAATGTAAAATAATCAATGATAGTCCTATAGTGTAATGTAAAAATATATTGTAATGTAAAGTTAAAATGTATGATAAAACTTCTCAGTTAATATTATTTTTATAAAAAATAATTTTTCTTATTTTCGTATGATAATAAAAACAATTAATTAAATTCGAGGTTAAATTTCAATATTGGATAAAATATTTATTTAATAAGAATAAAATTCAGCCCGTCATATCAACCTCCCACCATATATAGCTGTTCCTTTCTGTCTTCACACAATAAGACGAGGACTTGCTTAAAAAAAAAAAATTACGCCTATCCAAAGGAAAGGAAAACATTTGCACCCATGGATGTAGCCATGTTAATGCTGGTTTGAACTCATGACCTCTCCAAATTTTTTAAGAGAATGGGGTAACATCGCCTCTAAGACAACTAATCGATGACATAAGAACTTGCTTTTTGATCCTATTAGTATTAAGAGTCTTTTGGGTCAATAAGCAAACTATTTTATATGAAAACATATTCATTTAAAAAATGTCAACAACTCCTCCACCCAAGAAAGCAAACAATTTTGTATAAAAAAGTTGGGGGGACACTGTTCATGATTGTTTTCCACATATTCATTTAAATAATTTTGGACTTCACCGTAAACCAAAATCACGGGACTAGAAACAAATTAACGTACGACTCTTCCGCCCCAAAAAAGCAAACAATTTGTATAAAAACACTAATCATGATTACGTTGATTTTCACACAAGCCCTCCTCGGTCTTGATGTTGTGCTTGACTTGAAGAGGAAATATGAAGGAGAGAAAATGAAGAGGAAAAAAAATAAAAAGAATACAATTTTTTTTATTGCACTTGGTTGAGAAAGAGAAAACTATGAAAAAAAAAAGTTGTTAATTTTATATGGATACTAATAAATTTATTATTTATAAAAATATTAATACAATAAAATTTAATATTTTAACATATTATATATCAAATAATTTTTATCATATATTATTGACTAAACAAAAACATAATTAAAAAATATTTTATCTAATACTGACAAAATTTTTTATCCAATTTAAAATTTCATTTATTAAATTGTTAATTATATAGTAATCTTAAAATTTGAAACTACAATTAATTATAAGGTACTTAACTGAAAATTAATTTAAAAATTTAGAATTAGCATTTATTTAATTAGTCTAAAAATTAAAAGTTCATGATCAAAATTTAACTATACTACAAATATCTTGATAAAAATAAAGAAAAGCAAGAGGTGGCAATGAAAAAATTGATAGGTAAATTTGAAAATAAACTTTTCTCTACATAATCTCCCCATATTTGAAGAGAAAAGTTAGAGGTAAAAAGGTTCGATATGTTATTTTTCTCTCACTTTTCTCTCCATAGCTAAGAAGGGGAAAATGCTGTTTTCTCCCCATTTTTCCCTCTCACTTTCCCCTCCAGCATAGCATATAAAAGTTTCAACCTTAAAATAAAATAAAATAAAATAATACAACTTCTAAAAATATGTAACTTAGCTAAAAAATTTATGACAGTGCATAACGTAAAAAGTTAATGAAAAAAAGGAAATTAGCATAATATTTTTATTCACATAAATAAATAATACTATAATAATTAATTAGTACAACGAAATTGGCCTATATCTGAAAATTAAAAGCCGTCATATATGTAAGTCGTTTTATATAGTTCTCTCCTTCATAAAACGATTAAAAAACCGTCATGTATACTGGAAAAATATATCACAGTTAAAAAGCACCTATCATATAAAACATCCTGTCTTGGCAATTCTGATGTTGGCATGCTCAATTATGACAGTATCATCTTGTTGCCAACAATAGTCATATTTAAGGACAAAAATAACAATAGTCATTTTTGCTTCTACACTTTTTTTTTTTTGAAAAATAAATGGGTTGCTTTTACACCAGCACCCCACCCCCCAATAACAATGCCAAATTAATCAAAACTAGCATTTCCAACATATCCAGACAGCAATACCAATTGAACTAGGATAGAATCAATAATATAATTAAATAAATAAAACTCATTCCATATGACCATTTTTTCATCTAAAAAAACTCATTCCATTTATATGTATCAAAATCAATGTAATGAACTAATTAATCAACACAAATCTGAAGTAACCTAAGTGTGAATAGCAAAATCCTCATAACTCTATATTTTGAATTTTGTAACTTACGTATTCTACAAACGCTAATCCTACAACTTTTAGCTCTACACTTTCTTAAGATTGTTGGCATTGTGTGAGGCCCGCAATTGCAACGCGAAGTGACCCGACTATTCGATTATTTCATTTATCTGCTCATCCTGTGCTCGTAAGAATATGAATCCACGTCTAAGTGGTTGGGATGTTCGCACGGTCGAGATAACAGCGACAAGAGACAATGTATTACCCATGGTTGTTTCTTTTGCCACTAGACGCAGCATCACCGGCGAGACACTGCTCTTCCTAGTGGCTCTCTATGAAAACATAAAGAACTTTTCTTTGGCTTCATTATCTGTATACGGAGAGCCCTGGAGTTTCTTCAACCGACTTTTCTCTCTGCCATTGCAGAAGGGCATTTTGGTAAATCTAAACTAATATTCATTGTTTTTGTTTTCTTGTACTGTTGTTTTAATGCACAAATTAAGTAGTGCAAGTGTATACGGTTTTTTAATTAAAAAACCTTGTGAAAGGGATGATGATGAGGCGCAACAAATAATTTTGATATTGAATTCTTTTTTTTATTTTAATTTTGATATTAACTCCCTAAATTCATTCGCCTTTGTTATGCATGTGTATGGGGTCATATATAGATAATATATTGCATTGCCTTCATTATAATATCTAGGGGCTAATAGAAGATGAGTTTAGTTTTAGTTCTGAATTCTGATCATGTCTTAGTTTACAAAATGGTGGTTTCTTTAATTTTTTATCAAATTACCAGTATGCCTTCCCCTCTCGTTTGAAAGCTCATGGCTTTTATTAATGTCATTTCTCCCCAATCCCATTATAGATAAGGGGAGAGAAACTTTTAGAACACAGTAGCTTGAAGTTTTTCCTATTGTGCCATTCAAGGGAACCTAAGAAATGAAACATGTAACTTTACCTTCACATCAACAAAAGCAAATGTCACGAGCTCAAATTATAAATCTAATCTTAATCCAAATGTAAATTATAACAAAATATGTTAAAAGTATCTCAATAATAGGTATATAAAATGAGTTGATTTAGTAAGCGTACGTAAAGAATTCATTAAGCTAGAGATGTTGTAAACTCAAATAGTAGATCT